TAAATGAGTTACACGTCTGGTTTGACTAAAAAAAACTAATTTCCAGGTATGTCCTGTCATTATTATCTCACAGGAATATCTGATGGAGTCGATCTTTGCAATACAATTTCTTTAATTATAAATATGCAGGGTAATATATAGGCTAATATATATATTTATATATATATTCACAGCTGATTAAGTTACATGAGTTTATACTTTGCACAATAAGAAGTGGTTATTCTCCTCTGTTTTCTCTACTTGTGACTGTTTTTCCCAGTATCCCACTGTGATCGGGCCCCGAGGACGGTCTTATCTCAGGAGAGGCTGTGTGCACTGGATTGCTGAGTCACCTTTGGTGGGAGGCTGCTCTTATCTCCTAAGAAACACGACATTCAGGCAGTTGGTTGCAAAAGGAGGAACTTTGGGCAGGAGCACTGTGGCCTGCTGTGTCTTCACGGCCATAATATGGATTGCAGCAACGCTCTCTGACTTCCTCAAAGCTTCCTCTGAGCTACTTTGTCTATGAGGTCAGTGTTCGGACAGGTATGCAAAAGCAGCAAGAGGGTCGAACCCAGACGCCAGGCAGAGGGAAAACTGGGGCTAAAATGTGACGTTAAGGGTATCCAATGATGTCTGAGATCTTTTCTAACTGAGATATCGTCCCAGGCGGTGACACAACAGCTTCACTCACTCAGAGACAAAATACGGTGAAGACAATAATCCATTCATGGTTTTAGAGAAGTTCCTGCAGAAGTGGGATCAATACTGACCGCACTGACTTCTACAAAATGTATAAAATGTTACCGGCCATGTGGAAAAACAAACAAACCAAAGGTTTTACGAGATAATTATAATCCTGCAGCATTTAACATTACACTGCATGGACTACATTCCCCAACTAAACCTACACGCAACCCGCTGCTCTTCCAGCTTCATCCTCAGCCAGAAGCAAGCCATGTTGCTGTAATTAATATCATTACCTAGCAAGTCTCAAAACATCATCAGGTAATGTAGCCGCTTGACTAGCGAACAATAGGCTCCGGATGGTTCTTATTTCATGGATCTTTAAGCAGTATTCACTGTTTCACATTTGGAAGCATGAGCAGCATGTAACCCTTAATTGGTTTCAACACCTTAATAAGTCAAAGACGTTCAAGACTGATAATCACATTAAATAGTCCAATTTATCTAAAAAGTCAATTGCAAACTGAAAAACTCTCTTTCTTTAGGAATGCATTATGCTGTGAGGATGTCAGAGTAAATTAAATTCCCCTCTGCACACTAAAGCATCAATTTCCTTATGGTAATTATCTGCTGGAATAGACGTGTCACTAGAAGGAGTCAGGCATGCTTGACATTTAGCCTTTTCATGGAGAGGCGATGAGTAAAAATTAAGATGAGGAAAAGGAAATTAATCTCCAGCCCAGGCAGGCATTGAGAGATCCTGGAGGATAGCGGCTGAATCAATCATGATGTTTGTGAGCCTGTTTTGAAAAGGAGCCTGTGATGAGATTCGGACCACAGGCTGGGAAATCTGAGGAGGAGGAGGAGGAGGAGGAGGAGGAGGGGGTGTTTTCTTTTCTTTTTTTTTTTTTTGCAAATAGAGTTATGATTTGTGCCAGAAGGCTTGCTCAGTTTTATTGGTCTTAAACACAACAGCAAACAGAGCAAACTCGGCAATGTACGAGCCTTTTGGACTTTAATTTAGGGAGGCAGACGGCAAGGTTTACACCTCTGTCTGATCTGTAAACTAAATAAAGTCGCCAGTCGGTTAGCTTAGCTTAGCATAAACACTGGAAGACGCGCTAAACAGCTAATCGAGCGCAGAGAGTCAAACTATTGAGCATTAATTAGTGAAATGTTGATGTGCTGGGAGATGGATTTTGTTACCTTTAGACAAAATCAGGCCGGAGGTTTTCCTACATTTTCCATTTTTATGCAAAGCTAAGCTAAGCTAAGCTAAGTTATGAGAATCAATGTTACTGTCTGACTGCCTGAAAGAAAGTGAAAAAATAAAACGATGTCTCATTTTTTTAAACATCTCCAACAGTCATAAGTTGGTGGAAAATGATGACTAATTATTAACTATTAATTAGCTAATTTTTGATGAAGCTTCAGTTGACAGTGGGTAAATCTGACCCCTCTGTTATTTGATAATGTGCTTTATAACAAATTCTGGTTGTCCAAAATGAGACTTCAAGTTAATTGCACAGCTCAGCACTTAATTGGTGGCTGCCAGACATTAATCACCAACAGAGTTCTTAGGTCGTATCAAGCCAAGAGCAAGAGTTCACTCTTTAGATGGAATGGATTCACTCCTGTGCAAAGGAAAAGACAAATCCTAACAAATATGATTAAAAAGCCAGAGATGCAAAAGCTGGAATTACCCAACAACCAGGTAACGCATTAATTTGATCGTGTTTTAAAACAGAGAGTGGTAAGACGGAATTGAAAACCAATTATTACATGGCGGTAAGCCCAGTATTGCCATGCTACTTCGACAACCACTTTAGGAGTCAACTTCTGCTGTCTGATGGGGAGCTCGATGAGGTTGTGTGTTGTTGTCTGTGTTCAGTGGAGGGAAGGAACTAATCAGAGACATATTTGTTCAGTGCAGGGGCTGGCGGAATGGGAAGGTGGTTTATTAAAAGAGGAGAAACGCCACTCCAGATTTGCTGTATTTTAAGTGTCCACAGAATCCGTCAGTTTAACATTTCTCATTCATTGTCTATGTGAAACGCATTGCATTCTGGTCGTGTCGCGTTGTGTTTCGGGCAAGGTTTCGTGGTGTTGCCGGCTAGCTGCCGGCTAGCTGCCCACACCTCATTTGCATAAAGTAGCCCAAACCTCAACTTTATGCAAATGAGGCGTGTTGAAACTAAAATGAGCACAGATTTAGCATCGCTTATTTCTTGCCTCAAATGTGTTCAGAAATACTTTTCGCTGAACTGTTCTTGTAAAAAAAAAAAAGTTTGCTTCCGAGACGCCATGTCGGTCCAACGCCTCCACAGGACCTGTCATGACCCGCTGGTGGCCCACGAGTAACATGCCTATCAACCCTGCCTTATTGGGAAACAGTGCGTTGCTAATGTGTAAAAACACCTCTGTGGACACATAACATCAGCCAGCTTGCTAACATTGCCCATCAGTCACCGGGGTTTGTCAGTGGAGGAATCACAAATTGGTCTTTTCGGAAAAAAATTGTAACACGGTAGCTGCTGATGTTAGCACAACGCTACTGGACTCTATTCACATGCTTCACAAACAGTCCCAGGACTTTTTGATGGCACCACATTGTATATGTAGAGTGTGGATGTGGAGGATTTTATGTGAAGGCACCACTGATCTGGGCTCAGTAATCAAATTGAAGCAACAAATATCACAACTATTGTAAATATTTTTGCTGCTGAATACCTATTAAAGTAATGTGATTACCTTTCACTATTACTGTAACTGACTTAAGTGCAGGAGCGCACAGATTCTGTTAACAAAAGGCAACATGCTGACAGCTGAGGTAGTGATGGCACCCTGGCTGTGATGGTAGCCAGTCGGGTGTTTTTTTCCCGTCAAACAGACTAAAGCTTTGGCTACAAGCAAGAATATGAATGAAATACAGAATTGTCTGACACATGGCTTAAACAGTTTGCCTAGAACCTTGTTTGTTCTGATTTAAGGTCTTGATTCCACTCTGTGGATGCGTTGTTGATGTTTGTATGTGAGGTTTCTTGTTCGTGGGAGTCCACTTCGAGGACTCTCAGACATACAATCCCAGTAGGTCATATCTATACATTATGTGTACATACACTACTGCTGAGCCATTGTACTTGCAGCAACATTGTTCATGTGAACTCAAATTTTGGGCTCCGTGTGGATTCTCACAGACATGGTGTGATGACGAAATTCACATTACATGAACCCTGGTGGACTCTGCTGAAGGGACGTTGTGTCTTACATGCACAGCAGGTCGGTATCTACGTATTTTTCGCTGCGTCCACATCTATCCAGTTTGTCTCCACGAGTGGGTTTACGTTGGCCGAAGCGCAGACATTTCTTTGTTATGTCATTTTTTTGGGTCCCTGCCAGATTCAGACGGATATCCTCACCATGACTGTGAAGGATGCTGCGTCATTCTACCTGACAAATATGAAAACTTTGCCCTGAAAGCTGCGGTCTTGTCTGTCGGACTCAGCTGAGGTATGAAGGTGTGTGAGTTAAGCAATAAACATTTTTGATTCTTCTAAAAAAAAAGGAACACATTTTGTGTTCATTTCAAAAGACCTGTCTTAAATTATTTTATGCATTATTTTAATAAAGCGCCTTCGCCTTAAGTCGGCTGGGATAGGCTCCAGCCCCCCCGCGACCCTAGTGAGGATTAAGCGGTGCATAGATAATGGATGGATGGATTTCAATAAAGCAAAAGTGTACAATCATATCTGATTACCTACTAAATTGAACTGAACTTCATCACGTTTACTGAAGGATGTTGTGGAGCTGCATTGTGGGAGATGGAGGATCTATCCGCTCCAATTTGTTAACTTTGAAAAGTTAAAGAAATTGAGAATTTCCCATCTTCTGAGTGTTTCATTTTGACATCTCCCAAGTTTATTCAGTTAAGTGAATTACAAAGATACTGAATTGCTCCGTGAACGGCAGTAAATGCAGGCAGTAAAAAACAAAGATAACTCAGATCCCTGCAACCTTTAACTCACACAAATCAACTGTGTGTGTCTGAGTGCAAATCCTTGTGAAATGTAAATCTAAACAAACTATAGATGAAGAGAAACAGGAAAACCAGCTCATCCCTATTTCCTGTCTAAGCGTGAAGCAGCACAAACCACAGAGTCATAAAGCTGTAGCTGGCAGGCACTTCATAATAATGACGATTTGCATTACAGTCACATCTACAGAAAACTAAAACCTCTAAATGATTTGTGCAGTGCAGACTGCAGGATATTTTTAATCTGTACCTCCTGAGCTGATAAGCTTGAATAAGGACATGTTACTTGTAAATCCTTCTTTAATACCTGCCATAGATTTTTACATTGTCAGATATGTGACACTGGTGCAGAAAAATCCTGACTTCCTTCAATATTTTCTCCTTTTGTCCCTCGTTGCCCTTCATGACAGAGGCAGTGTGTGGGCTGAAACACACACAGCAAGTGAGTCAGTGAGTGAGTGAGTCAGTGAGGGAGTAAATGTTTAAGAGGACAATGCAAAAGCTCGCTACCCAGAGTTAGAAAACCACTCATCTAAATCAAGGAAATTATGATAATGGGGCATCTCATTATTCTCCAACTCCGTCTGAATCACTCACTGACATCACATCATTATAGACGTATTCATATAAACAGATTGAATGGCATAAATAGGAAGCTGACACCTTCAAAACTTTCTCATCTGCTTTGTCTAACGTCTCTCCGTGAAGCAGGGAGCTCGGGTCTCAGGAAGGGGTTGCAGGGCTTCACGGTGGTCAACATCCGGGAGAGGGGCGCCGCGTGGCCAACAGCAGAACTCCTCGATTCTTTGATTGCCCTGTGAACACGTTTAACTATTTTTAGAAGTCATTACATTACAGGTCATTCTTGATGATGTAAAAAAATCCAAGAACCCCACTCTAATCTTCATAGTGAAACATCAAATAACTAAGGCTGACACTTGAAAAAAATACCCAAAGGCACTTGTGTAATGAGCGGGCTTTGGCAAGCAAAAATCCCAGAGACGTCTGACCGTTGCAGCAGACAGTTAATCAATCCAAGCGCTTGTCTTTTTTCTGTTTTGGGGAAAAAATATGGGAGGCCAGCCTAATCAGCAGAGGAAACAGATCTCAGGGGGTGTCGGGCTCCAGGAAAATGGATCTGGGTTGTGAAAAACCACCATTACCACGAGCTGCTCTGGATTCAGCCATCTGGAGATGCCTGCTCCAAAAGCCGGTAAAGTTCGCTAAACTGGGGCCCAACTAGGAAACAGGTTTACGCCTCCCTAACAGACAGCCAGCGCTCCCAGAGTGGAGCAGTGTTTGCAGTCAGATAAGCGAAAGCACTTTCCCTTTTCAGTCATATAAACTGACGATTTTAATGTTGAGCTGACTTTTTTCCTGAACAGTTGTCCTTAATGTAATTTAAGAAAAATCTGTTGTAAAAATCTCTTTTGCGACAATCTTTTTATTTATTTATTTTCCTCTCTAATCAAACTTTGTGTCGTTTCCTCTCCAGTTTTTCAAGACTTCAAATTTCCTACCTGTCTGTCTTCAGGAATGACATCCATTGTTTTTTGTAATCTCCTTTTTTAACATTTCCAATTACTGCAGCCGTTTCCAACTGACCATTAACTTGTATCTCACCAGCCCACTCATGCAAAAAATAAGATATAGTTAGCTGCTGCAGATACCTGCAACGCTTTAGCGTAGTGCCACTCAAATACATAATAACACAGACAAAAAAAAGACAAAATAAACATTAGGAAGTAGTGATTCTTTATCATTTCTAATATCAATTAAAGAGATTTTTGGCATCTTGTACGTCCATTTCCCTGTAACACTAATTTAAGCTCTTCTAATTTATCTCACGTTTTTGCTCTTTTATTGCCAGATAGCTAGATTTTTTTTCCCTTCTAATTATTATACTTAAGTGTTGATATGACAAAATTCTTTTTGTTATTTGTGCTTCTTGTACCACTGAGCATTACCGTCCCCACTCCCTCGATTTGTATCAACATAATTAAGCCGGAAGATGTCTTTCTTGGCAAGTGAACGCTGCGACTGATCTCATGGTAAATCTCTGTGAGGATTTGTCGGCGCATTGTTCGATCAAGATTTCAAGTAGCAGGATTCAGAGGATTCTGGTCTGATCTCAGACACCTGCCTCGTTCTGTGAAGCAGGCCTTGCTCTTTGAAAAAGCTTGACTCAATATTTTTCTTCTTTTTAAAAGCAAAAATCAGGAATGAGATTAATATTTTTGTCAATTTATTCATTTCAGTTTAGCACAATGGGGGCCACTGGGGTGAACGTGTCAGGAAACAAGGCTGCCAAAGCATCAAAACACACACATGGTATAAAATAATAATAATAATAATAATAATAACATGAGCATTAATACAATATTATTATGGAAACACATTAATTATACATACATGTGCACTATATCATATGCTTTTTTGTGTGTGTGTGGATGCGTGCATGTGCAGCGAGTGTTAAATTAACTAAAGTCAGGACGAACTAAATCAAACATTTTACTTTATTCGTTTTCTAAATTGACTGTAATGTTGTTAATAATGATAATTAATGATCTCAGTTGCAGTTCGTTTTCAAAGAAATGACAGTAAAACATGAGCACATCAGCACAGTGAAGTCAGAGCTTAACCTGATGTCAGTGGATTGCCCTCCAGTGGACATTTGTGATAATTCTTGTATTGAATCTTAAACTCGCACAAAAATAATGTGTTTTGAGGACACAGGAGCAGCGATTTTATAGGTAGCATGATATAAAAAGTTTTATCAGACAGAAGCAAGGCAGCAAACTGCTTTGAGTGTTTGGACGGTCAAACAACGACAACAATAGTCGCACACTGTCGATTGGCTTCATACGAGCTGCTGTTAGACTCACCCAGAGGAGCTGGCAGGACGGGACACATGTGGGACGGAGACTGCAGCAGCAGAGCTGGAATAAGCAGCCTTGCCTGCGTAGCCGGGGATGGTGGTTCGACTGAAACAGAAGTTTACACGTCATATATCAGAATGTGTTAGAACATCACCATGAGAGAGGAATTTTACTGACAACAGCTCGTTCAGGATTATGTTTTAGTTATAAAAAATACGACCAAAAAGCTGCGGAGAACAGCAGCGACTGTGTGTGTGAGACAAATCAGAACCAGAAACACTTTACTTAGGATAAAAATCCCCAAGACATAAGTATTAACATGAAATAAAATATATCTGAACACGAGATATATAAATGTGCATTCTGCTCCGGTAGTGTGAACAGTGTAATAATAATACCACCATTTACCTACAGTTGAATTTTGGATTAGAAATGCTTATTGCACATTATTAAAAAAGCCCAAAGCCCAAGGTACACCTACTGACTCAGAGTTTCTGACACTCAGAGTGAGGAGCTGTACAATCTGATGGCCACAGGCAGGAATGACTTCCTGTGGTGCTCTGTGGTGCATTTTGGTGAAAGTACTCCTGCAGCTGACCAGCACGTCATGTAAATGTGTGTCTCACTGTGCTGTAGGCGTGTACGGAGGGATGATGCTTCTCTTCAGGGTCAGCGGGTGAAAGACTTCATCCATGTTATCAATGTCATCCATGTTCTTAGAGCCAATGGTACCACTGTAAACACACATAAAGCAAAGCCAGCTCTCAGAGAAGCCCATTAACGAATACAACGCTGTGCAGAAGCTCTGGGCACTAAAGCTGAAGTGAAAACGCTGTCAAAAATAATGCTAGGAATAGTTTTTTATTTACCAACTAACTTCCCCATAGTGCAGTAAACAGGGAGGTAAAAATGTATTGAATCAATGTTTAAACCAGCACCAGCTCCCTCTCTACATCTCAGCGTTCTCAGCCGGTTGGTTGAGACATCTTGGAGAACTCGCTACGGTTCATCTGTTAGTTAGTCCGCCTCAGTGTCTTCTGTCTGTTCGCGTGACCCCACACTGACTCTATGATGTCCAGATCAGGGCTCTGCGGGGGCCTCAGCATCTTCTGCAGGGCTGTTTGTTTGTTTGTCTTGTTTCTGAAGGCACTTCTCTATGACTGATCATTGTCGTGCAGCAGAATAAATCTGATCAAACACCCAGTGGGTCATAAACAACCGCACGACGCCGTATGCAAGACATACACTTAGACAGAAAGTACTCACGTGTATGAAGGGATCTGACCCGACCTCGGACATCCACTGCAGCTGAAAATAATGAGGACACAAAGTTAAAACTCGGTAACAAAACGACTATTGAAGTTGGTTGTTGAAAACTTACAATGATACGGGTTTCTTGGCATCACTCCTAAATCGAAGCTGTCGTCTGCTCCAGTCAGCTCCTACAGACTTGGAAAGGGGAGTAATAATAGATCTTTAAGCAGAATTGATAAGGAAAGAAACTAAACATTCTCACTTTAGAGTGAAATAGTGAGTAGTGGTAAACTTATTAAGCTAAATCTGTTTGTTTAAAATTCTACGCGCAGTGTTTTATCATTAGTGCTTAATGATGAAACCTTTACCCGCTGATTTGAAGATATTAAAGTCTGATAATGTTTTTCTTATTTCTAACTAATCCCATGAAAAGAACAAAAAACAACAACAATGTGTGTCTGTTGGGATTTTCAGCTGCACATTTAATGCACATTTTGTGGGTAAAGGCAGCAGGACGGTGTTTGCAGGACTGACTCAAATAAACTGGCAGTGTTCGTATGTCACCTTGGGCAACGGCGAGGCTCACTGCTGTGTTTTTAATAGTTTTTGGACATCAGTGAAAGTGTATGGCTCAGAGGAGTCAGCTACCACGCTGGCCAGTGGGAAGTTTCCAGGTGGGGTGCTACACAAACCGGATCAATGCATTTTTAGAGAAAAGAAAGAAAGCACAGACACACAAGCACCACGGAGAGACAGTAAGAGAGTAGTGCTGCGCTGCAGGACGGTTGAATAGGTGGATGGGCCCAGTGGGATCCCTGCCTGGGTTCTGCAGCTCCGCTCGCTGCTTTAATGTTTCTGAGGATGTATCTTCAAACATCATTTTAACGCTGACCCACATAGCGGAGGATAGCTGCTGATAGGGGTTGAAATCCTCCAGAAAGCGGAGGCATTAAAACGCTTTACAGTAACAAGTTAAAGCAACCAGCGAAAACCAACTGGACAGAAGATAGCAGGGATACGATAGTGTGGGTTTGATTAGCTGGATGTAGCTCAGATTGTTTTGGTTTGATAACTCCATTTTATATTTTCAGAAAACTAGTTTTTTTTGTTGTTTGCTTGAGATAATATCAATCAAAGTGACGCTGAGTGGATGTGACAGTAGAAATGACAAAAATAGAGATGACTTCAGTTTGATTGATATTGTCTCAGGTAGACGATGGAGAAGTGGGTTTTCTTGTGAAGATGGAGTTATCTGCTTTTGCAAATGAAGTCTTCAAATATACGTCATCCTGTAACTGCCTCCATGCTGCAATTTAGACTCTGTGCCAACAACTGACAGCATTGTTTTATCACATTAACCATTTGACTATAACATAAATATGTAAATGCGTAGGATAGAAGAAAAATTACTGTTTAATTAACTGCATTCAGGTGCAGTAATTATATCACGGCTTCTGTGCTATTTTCTTGATAGTAAAGTAGGTCCTTGAATGCTGCCATGGTTACTGAAGCCAGAGCAGAAGTCTTGAACTCTATTCTGTGAAATACTCTGTTCCAGCCCTGTGATATTTATGACCTCTTTTTTTAAAAGAGCGAAATCGGCTACTGAAAATTCTAATTTCCTTCACTCAGTTGTGGGATTGGGTATAAGCCTTTAGCGGCCGTCAGCTGGAGAGAAGAAAACAGCTCGGCTCCGGCCTTGGCAGCGCTTGTCATTGTTTGTTCTCCATGGCTCACCTGCCACAGCTGAGGTCGGCCGTTGTAGCGCCTCGACGAGGGTCGCTCGCTCACCGGGTCTGCCGTTTTCTCCAGGGTTGTTCCCGGTGGCTGCAAGCGCCGCGGCAGCTTTGCGTCCCAACTCACTTCCTCATAGCTTCTGCGAACGAACGTGGAATTCTGGCCGTTAAACACTCGAAGCACACGCCTCGAGTACAATTGATTAATTTGATTCCCAGATGTTATTTGCCTTAATTCGAATTCTTAAAGAGACCCCCTTCATTGCGCAAAGTATATTAGACAGCTTATTAACCGGGAAGCTGATTCTTCCCTGAGGCTTTAAGCGAGGCTACAGTTCATCAGCATGATTTCATTGAGCAGCAATTAACACAACAAGCGAGCACAGTGTTCCCTGATGACATCACTGGAGCACAAAATCAAACCTCTTCACTCCCAATAACACTCAAAGCAGGATGACAGTGTGTGTGGGCTCTTGGTGATGGATTGTGTGGGAGGTGAGCTTTGTCTAACTTCACTGCTTTGTGTTTTTTTTTCTGACCTCTGTGTTGCAGATGTGTATCTGAAGCGTAGAGCTGCCGGTGAGTTGTCTGTCAGCAGTCGAAGATCAGAAGAAAAGGTGTCCTTAAAACACAATATTCAGAGTTTTATTATTTTTTCCAGTTCAAAAAAAAAAAACACAGAAAAACAAAGAAGCAGATTGCAGGTTGTTCTTGACTCAGAACCATATTTGACAGAAGTCAAAGCATTTTTCTACTATTTCTGACTATTTATTAAACAAAAACATCTTTTATGGTTTAATTCACAAAATGTAAAAACTTGGACTAAAGATGTTTAGATTTATCTTTAATTCTTGGAGACTCATTTGTGTTGATTTCTTTCTCTCTTTCTTACAAACTACTGAACACGTGAAGCTCATGTATTCTTGATGTCTGCTCACACATTAACCAACTCCTACGTGCAAATGAAAACTAATCTCTCACTTAAATCCTCGTACGGTTAAGCAGACCATTCATTTGCAATGTACAGTGTAATGCGTCCAACACCAGCCTGATGAGCTTACAAATTACCTCTGATATTTGCAGATCTGCAGCGTCTCCAAATCCGACTCAATCTGCTCAAACTTAGTTAACATTCATGAAGTCATTGTAGATGTATAATGAGGTAGACCACAGCCATGCTAGCAGCTCTGCGAGGCCGTACTTTGGCACAGTGGTGTTCTGAGCGAAATGTCCAAATGTGCCGACAATGACAGCAACAAAAAGCTGATTAGTTGGCATGTTTGTCCTGTTTGCTGTTTTTGTGTGTTGATATTTGTTTGCATGGCAACACAAGCTGCGGGGGGAGGAGGGTAGGAGCTTTGCAGGTATGAAATAAAAAGCTGATAAAAACTCAACAAACTTATTACAGCTCATCCTGTGACTGTTTGTTTCTACACATCGGCCAGCAGGATGTTCTCCTCCATTACTACCCATTTAAATACAGGCATTAATCAAACTTCCACTCGCTAGACAACACAAGCTACTCGCTGAGTGTTGCGGAGCTTCTCCCAACCTATAATAATGCATGTCAAGATAAGTATGATTACCTCAATTAGCAGATCCAGTAACAAAACAGGAATGCAGGTTTATGTAGTTAAAGTGAACACCTGCCCACATAATAGGAGGCCGGTGTGGTGCTTTAACATGCATAGTGGATTGTTGCTTTACATATTTAATATGTTCTTGTGTTATGATAGCGAGGTGATTAATTCACCAGCGACGTGATGAAATGTAATAATAACTACTTTGTCTAGAAACCAAGCCGGCAGCATTGGTTCGACCACAATGTGTGCAGTGTACTAGATTGAGTGTATAAATCAATGAGTGCTCGTGTGCTCTGAGAGTTAAACAGGAAGAAATGAATGAACTGTTTAATGTGTAAAATGTTTAATTTCTCAGTTGGGCAAAACAAGTAAATTGAAGGCACCACAGAGCACTTCAGCAGGAAAACTAATTCAGTCATCACCCACCTGAGGTCCAGCATGTTTATCAGGCTCGCTGTCGTGCGTCGCTGCTTGAGTTGATGTCTTCAGTGAGTGCAGTTGAATTTTAACAGGATCACTCGAACCTGAGGATGGAGAAAACAACAATGCGGTCTCTGGGACACGGATAAATTGTGAAATACAGTATAACTATGCACAGTATTAACTGCTTTTAAGGTCAAATTGCCCTGCAAGGAGGCCCTGGGGCAGAATGAGCCGCGGGTCCCTGCTGACCAGCTCCTTCTCTGCGTGAACTGTGTATGAATCCGGCTTTTCCTCAGTACCCATCAGGTAGCAGCGCACAGCAGACTACAAATGACAACTTAATTATACAGTATTTGGCCCAGAGACGCAGATAACAACAGCTCACACTCCTGCTTATCTCTATTACAGGCTGCTGCAGGTTTGTTACGTGTCAGGTTGTTTGTGATAACTTCTTTAAAGAGAAATTTACATTACATTTAATCACACTCCCAGATTAAAATCCTATAAATCCTGTTCTTGCGATGAGCTGTTCCTTTTTGAGGCTAACTTAGACACCTAGCTTAGCCAGTGAGCACAAGGCTTTTAATGCGATTTCTTTTGGTATTTTAGTTAAGATTCACATCTGTGAAGCATTAAGTAAAAAGAGAAATTAGATTTAAATGAATAAACATACAGGCAGCATGGAACGCTCCAACTTTAAGAAAGGAAAATGTTAAATCAAACTGGTAGCGGTAGTAGCTAAGCTAACTATGTGCTAACTATCAGTTCGCTCAAATAGGGACTCAATTCAAAATAATAAAAAAAAAAAAGCAACTAAAGGAGTCACTAAATATAGCTTATAGTATCTAATATTTAAATTTTAAGAACACTTCCAAGACAACAGCATAAAGACGTTTATTTTTGGCAAGAAAAGTTTAGACACTGTTATCTGTAAGGCTAAAGACGCTACGATAGCCTAAATCGTATTTAAACCTTTTGTACATAAATAATTAAAAAAAATGACTGAGAATACTATTTTTGTGTGAAACTTCCCCAGTTGATCACTTACTTAAAGGTAATTATTATTTTGTTTTTACATGTTTTTTTTTTCCCATACTTTCTGTTTAAGCATGCAAACCATGTGTTATCTCGGTTCAAAGATGTGAAGGTGCATTAACTTTCAGAACAGACACGTGAACACTGAATAAAGTCGGCTTCAAAACGCTGCTCTTTTCATTTTGTTGATATATAAGAACCAAATGTATGTACAGAGCGGAATTTAGATTTCTTGTTTTGTTGCTTCACAAAACTGAAAATACACACAACAAGCATTAAAAAAAAAAATCCATTTTTCCCATGTTGTTAGGAATGAGATGTTCTGTAAATCAGGTAATGAATGATACATGAATGTACTGCTCTGTGAAAACCTTCAGAATATAGATAGAAATAAAGTTTGGTGTATGGAAGCACCATTGAATCGAAGTTTTCTCGTTTTGAGAAAAACCCACTTTGCAAAATTCCATTAATTTCTTTCAGAAACCAGGACTTACAGGTACACTTTTTAATTAACGCGTCTCGCCATAAATCCTCCTAAGCTCACTTACATCTGTCTTTTGCGCAGCGTGCAAGATAACTCACATCAGATAATAATTATATCACAACATTAATTAACTAATGTTTTTCCATTAAACCTACACACTGGGCCCTGATGAGCAGAATATAACCACCCATGCATGACGTGCACTACAGCAAACAGCTACACGTCCACTTACAGCTAAAACGTGACACATACTGTTGCAGAATTAAAGGTTTTACCAGATGTTCAAAAGGTAAACGGCACATTTCCACCAACATCAACCTTTTTTTTTTTTTCTTAAATCATGATGCAAATTTCGCATCCCATTGATGACACCCAGGATCTTGAGTGAAGTTTCCATGTTCTCCCCGTGCAGCGTGGGTTCTCTCCAGGTTCTCCGGCTTCCTCCCACAAGTCCAAAAACATGCTGAGGTTAATTGGTGATTCTAAATTGTCCGTAGGTGTGAATGTGAGTGTGCTTGGTTGTCTGTCTCTAAGTGTAGCCCTGTGATAGACTGGTTACCTGTCCAGGTGAACCTGCCTTCACCCTGAGTCAGCTGAGATAGGCTCCAGCCCCCCATGACCCTAGTGAGGATTAAGGTGTAGAGATAATGTAATGTAGTAAAGACAACAATCACATGCTCATGAGGAGGACTTTGGAGACTGCTCCCTGTTGGTTTGGACTAATTATTGTAATTAGTGTGGTTTTAGTTGAAGTGTGACTAACTGCCCACAGTAGTGGACGCCATGCATGGACGGGTTCTAAGCATCTAACTTCCCACCGGGACGCGAACCGGCGACCTTCTTGCTGCGAGGCAACAGTGCTACCAACTGCGTCACCTTGCAGCCCACTTTGAAATCTAATTTGTGAATCCACTCAAACAGAGAGTAAAGAAATGTAGGTAATAAAACTAGATTGTGATCTAAGTCCTCCACATAAGATAAAGGGTAAGTTCTGTACATATAGAGGCAGTAATAGCATTAACAAGGGGGTTTTTAATCCTACAAGTAATGCTGGTTTCATTGTTACACACAGAGGGGTGTTCTGTATGTTGTTTGTGCAGAGTTTTAATATTTTAATATTATTATAAAAACCCAAAATCCTATTGTTTGCTGACCTCCGGTGGTTTGACCTCTCACCCTGCAGCAGTCATCAAACAGAAACAACTAAAGGACCAAAGTCAAGCAGCGACGGCAGCGAAACATCTGCTGTTCACCCAGCCGATAAACTAGTATTTAATTTGTATTCCTTTCTTTCTCTTTTCTGTTCTGTTTTGTATTCATGATGTCTTTACATGCTTTATGTTTTTATCTTGTCTCCTGGATTTTACTGCTGTGCAACAGATTTTCCTTCGGGAACAAATGAGACCACTTTTATAAGTCTGCCAGCTTCCTTGAATAGCCAATTAATCATTTGGTCTACAGTGAAAAACAAGCGACACCATTTCCCAATATCTAAGGTGACCTGCTTTTGTTGTCCAAACAACAGTTCAGGTGTTAATGATGAACAGTTTGCTATGAGACAAAGAAAAGCAGGAAATGTTCACATAAGAGAAGCTGGCAGAAGAAAATGTTTGCTTTGAAAAACATAGAAATGGCTAATTGTTGATCAGAATTGTTTCAGTAAGCAGTTTGTTTTGTGATCCTGAGAGTTTGGTGCAGTTCTCCTGTTCATCCAGCCTTGCCTGCTCATATACTCTCCATCTCTAACTGGCACGTTATGTAAATGTAAATATGATCTCCTGTTGTTTTACCATTCAGTCCTGCTTTCAAGGCTGCGTCAGGGATCCTCCTGGAGTTCCAGGCCTTGTCCTTGCTCAGGTCCGGGCGGATACCAGAGTGGATTGGTACCGTTTGAGGCCGCTCTCTGAAACCTGGAGGGACCCACAGAGCAGAGGCCACGTGACGAAAATCTATGAACTTCTGTCGACCTGTGACCCCCAGGTCCACCTCAGCTCCAGCACTCAGCTGACCACAGCAAGGGTCCAACAGGGGGACGTCGTCTCGTAGAGGAGCCAGCATGGCGTGCCCAGCAAGGGGGTGAAGTCTAGGAGAGCCTGCACGTCCAGGGTCCAGTCCGTCTCCACCTCCGCCCCGGTGCAGACTGGAGTTCAGCCGTCTGATGACATGTAGTTCTGCGGAGAACGGCTTGGAGGGATCCAGTACTGCAGTCATTACTACCTGCGGAGAAACTCACAGAATGCTCGTGCGTCTTTGCAGTACGTTGCCCAGAGACTGTCTTTGTTTGCTGCTCAGATCGAATTACTGACATGCAGGGAGGCCACATGACCTGCAGGCTGTTGAGGTGTAGCTCCAGCACAACATTTATTCTCCGTTTGTTATATTAATGGCTACAGATTCTAAAAAACCTCCCCCGACATCTATTGTAAACGTCACACCGCGCTGATTCACCTCAGGGGAGCATTCACGACTAATAATGCTTCCTCTGAGCTTCTATATTTTGGCAACTACAGCTACTAATTTATCACACTGACCAAATAAAAATGTTTTGTGAGTTGTCAGGGACGGCCGTTGCGCCCGGAAAATTACTCCACATAAATGTGTTTTGGTGGCAAATAATAAAGAGAAGTCTTGGCCCTGCCTCGGGGTTTAGTGGAGTGAGCCTCCTTGGAGAGAGCTACATTACTTCTGGTGATGGGTTAGGAATTATTTTCTTGTTTAAAAACCTGTCTGTCTTTAATCTAAACGACCACTAGATGGCGCAATAGAGCCTGTAAAGCCTGTAGTGACACCAGAAACAGGCCTGTGCACGCTGTCCTGTCCCTTATGAATTCAATGACAGTCCACAAATATCACAGCACAAAAAAAATATAGGTCTCTGTTGTAATATTATGATGATACATTATGAGTTTAAAAATATCATTATTGTACAACAAGGTGAGAGTAAAGCCAATACTGAGTTGTTGCAAAGTCCCTAAAGAAATATTAAAATGATTTTTCTTTATGCATGCAGGCAAAACAAGCTATTTTTCCCAGCCTGAAGTGGTTTTAGCTGAAAGAGAAACTTCAAATGTAAGCTGCATTTTTAAAGTTGACAGTAAACTAAATGAAAATTATGTAAATCACATGGAGGCAAAATGTTGTGTTTTTTTTTTTATTATTTACAAAGGGCGTAATCTGTGTGAACGTGCTGCCTTGAAAGAGCCGTCTTATATTCACTGGAGCAAAAAAAAAACACACAGAAAAACTATGTGGCTCACTGCTTATTAATTAGTTTGCCCGGGTTGTCTGAAGTGCATTGTGAAAATGTAAATATGCCATATGAATATAAGGGCGCGCATGTTGCAGGCTTTACATAAACAGTGAAAGCATGCTGGCGAGGTGGCATTTTTCTTGGGAGGGAATTCATGTTAATGTGTCAGTGGCGATGATGGTGATGCTTGCTGATAGATGATTTTCACTCAGGCTGTCATTAGCAAATGTAAACACCCAAGAGCTGTTGAAAGGGATGTGTTAAAAATAGCCTAATTAGAGTTATTCTGATAACTGAGTGGCGAATATGCCCAACTCCCACGCAATGTTCCTCCACAAAAGGAGAGCACAAATGACACTTGTGAGATCTAATGTGAGCTTCTTTTGAAATCCCTCTCCAGCCTGCTGCATCAGTCCTATATTACATGAGCCGTATATTCACACATCTCTAATGAAAGGAGTTGTCCAGAGGTCCACATGATTTGTTGCATTTGTATTCCATTAATTAATATCAGAAATTCCTCTTCCTCCAATGCTTTCTACTCCAATTATTTCAGGGTTTTTTCTATTGTTTCAGGATTTTAAATATCAACCTCAGTCTGAGATGACGGCATTTTTTTTTTTTTTTTTTTTTTCGCAGGGAATCAGATATTTCTGGAGAGAGGAGTCATTACCATCGGAGCAGCCCTTGTTACTGGATCCCGTGTTATTAGTCAGCTTGTCTGCCATTCTCTAGACTCCTCCACAGACTCAGAAATTATTTAAATCTCACATCTCACCCATGGTGCCAGGCCCAATGCTACAGTGCGGCAGCCGCTAATTTGCCTGAGCTGCATTCATCTGAGGAGAAAAAAAAGAAAGAAAGAAAGAAAGAAAGAAAGAAAGAAAGAAAGAAAGAAAGAAAAGAAAAAGAAACTGTTGCTCTGGATTAAGAGGCATTGTCGTTGCTGATGCTGCTGCAGTGGCAAAGTCACAACTGCAATGTTGGCTGTCTGAGGACAATATGGCCTGATGACGCTCTGGGCGAGGCATAATTTTTGTTAATCAGACGGCGGGGCTGAGGGTGACCCAGTCTGGCACCTCAGGATCAAACAGGCAGAGCTGGGAGGTCAGAACATAGACAGGCAGCATCTTTCACCTCTGAAAGAAATGAAAGAGGAGCAGATGACTGACAGATAGTAGTTTCTTGCAAATGTTCGTGCCATTTCTATGTAAAGCTTTGATGCATTAGGTGCCTGTTTATACCTGTAGGGCCATGTCTCATGAAAATCACACACACCCAGCCGTCTCTTTGTATGCATGATATGCAGTGGAGTTCACGCAAGGACCCTCATTGACATTTGAAGCTCAAAGCATCCACTGCTGGGATTATATCCGTATGTCTTGTAAACTGATGAAAATGCATGACCATATTTATAGCATAAGGGCCCTAAGTCATAGCTCACGGGTCATATTCATCACACTGTAAAGGCGGTGAATTGATTACTGCCCGTTGACCATGCATGCATTAGATTAGAGGGCAAATTGGCTGAAGTGAACTCTGTCTCATACTGTGTGCGGCACCCTCAACCATTTGGAAAAATTCAGACGGAGCGCAGAGATGAAGCTCTCATGAGCGGCGGGGGTAGCCATGTCCTCAGAGAGTGGCCGAAGGCTTTATTGTAGTGCTGCTTCCCTGCCCTCGGTTGCTGGAGCTCTCCGCTTGTCACACTCACTTAGCTCAATGAAGTAATGAATATGCCGCTGTACATTTTTCATGAGGGAGGTGGGAGTGAAAAATCTGCTCCTTATAATGCTTTTAATATGGAAGTTTTCACACACACTCTTCCCCCGCAAAGCACTCTCTGGGCTATCATGATGGTGCATGAGCATGATGTTTAATGTTAACATTCCCCAGGGGAGAGTCAGCATAATGCAATGTCACTTTCAGTGATGAATATGTTGACTACAGCAGATATACAAGCAGCTGTAAATCATGAGTAAGTCGGGGTAACAGCGCCTGTCCTCTTTTGAAAGCGGGCTTAACATGAAAGAACTGGTGACCAGTACAGTCACTTGAATAGGTGACTCAGTCCTATTTTTACAGTAATGAGCTTCCAAAAACGGAGAGAGGGAGACATAATGATCCAAAGATTAATGCAAATGAACACGAGGAGGTAAATAATTAGGGAAATTACTTGTGTTTGGCATATGTGTAACTATTTTAAATGAAGGGAAGCAAATAACCTTCCAGGTAGCGTGCAGGAGGACTCTTAGCCCCTGAGGGTGTGGAAAGATTGTGGCACAGCTCAGTTAGAAATATGCTATTATGGTGTGATTAAAGAACTTATCCACATTTTTGTGTTGATGACAAAGCATACAAATGGACATAATGCTGATATATTGCCTCAGTAAGCTACCAGGTACAACAGGTTGACTGCTCAGGACACCTTGGTTAATAGTAATCGCTGTAATGAATAAATCACTGAAACTGTTGGTTAAAATGAACGGATAAACAATCGTGTGTCAAACCAGTAAGCTAACGCAATGGGTTAACGGCTGGTTGTGTTGTGCCACTCCGAGATGGAAGAGGCACTTCAGCTCATCTGACAGGGATGTGGGAGTACGTCGGACAAAAAAAAGTCTGTTTCACATGATGACTACTTTTGGGGATATTTCAGCTCAGCCTCGAGGTGTCTAAAGGAGGCACACAGGACTACACTCCACATTTCTGCTTTTGATCTGTGCGTGATAGCACATCTCTGATTTTCAATTACGAATAAGACACCGCATTAAGCAAAGACACACTGAAGGTAATGGACTTCCTCTGTTGCTCACAAAGATGGACTTGTCCCTTGAGACCTCCCTTTCCATTATTAAACCTTCTGCACATTGCCCACCTGGGCTGTTTCCATTCCCTCTGACCAAGGTGAAATTACCTGCTTTTGAAACTTAAACATAGCAAAGAAAACACAGAGTGGTTGCCCACCGTCTGAACCTCCATTTTCTTTCTGCCAGGTAGAGGTTTTTTTTTTATGTTTCTTGGGAGAGGCAAAAAAAAGCAAAACACAAATTCTCATGGTTGTTTGCATTGAGGTCTGACGTCCTTATAGTTTTAATATACAAAACATCCCAAGGGAATGAAGCGCAGCATGCGAGCCAGGGGGCTAATACATTCACTGGGCACCCTCGAAGTATGTATCAAGACCTGGATGATGAATTACCATACAAGGGCCAAAGAAAATAAAAAAAAGAAGAACAGACCAGGATGAATGTTGTGTTGCAAATACAAACACTTAGTATTCCACGGGGCCGAGACAAAAGCTGCTTCCTTTATGATAATCTAACAATCCACAATGCTATCTGCAGCCTGACAGCAACTTATGCAGATGTGCGTGGCTCCGCAGTGCTTTGCTGAATTGAACCCCCCCCTTCTTTCAAAAGTGTTCAGCAAGCAGGTCACATTGACGTAGGCTGCCTGTTGTGGATGAAATGCTGAAGCCGCGTCCTCCAAGACGCTTTAAAGCCTTATCACTCACCTACCTGCTCTGTAACAGCCTGTGATGGATCGGGCCAGATTGAACCTGCAGTCACCTGTCCAACTCGTGTCATTTAGAGAAAATAGAAGATTTGCTTGCTCCCACATTTAGATTACTTCTTAACTCTAAAACAAAGCCCGGTCAGGTGTTTGCTTCCCGTATAATGCCTTCATAAGACCTGGTCAGAGTTAATCGAAGCACATCTGTCACAGAGCGAGGTGTGTGGTATGAATAGCACGACAATTCGCCGCTGCAATGGTGAGTATCATCCTCATCTGGAGGCAAGACAAGGCAGAGAGGTGAAATTGAAAATGTGAATATCTAGCTAATGGCAGAGGAGGAGAGCTGGAGATATAATACCAAATCTATAAAGGACAATTTCAGGCATATAGACTCTGGGGACTCAGGCGCTCAATCATGAAGTGATTCACTCAGATTGATCAAGAGGCGTCGTAATCACATGGGAATGTTACATGTGGCTCCAAGGATGACTCGCAGAAGTTTTAAGAGATCCAAAGCTGGATTTAATGGATTTGAGGTGATGTGCTTAGAAATCATTTCAGAGGGTGCAAATAGAATCCTCAAAGCATTTTACCAGCATTTAGCAGCTGTCCAGTGAAATTAATGTTCAGAACGGTGGAATACAGAGGAATAAATTCGCCATCACAGAAACAGAGGACTAGAATTTACTCAGTATTCTCACAGCAGAAATTCAAAGGGCTCGGGTCTCTGAAAGAAGAATCGAAAATCTACTAATGAACCGCGCTGTTGATAACAGTGGCGTATTAAGCAGAAAGCCTAAATGCACTTACAGATAACAAGCCTTCTTTTATTTAAAGTGATTCTGGTTAAAAGCTCAGTGCTCCCTCTGAAATTGAAATAAATGCTCCAAATATGACATTAAATATTCATAACCTTCAGCTGTCATCTAGCCGTTACTCTTTCAAGATAAATGTGCACAAAAAAACACAATCCTACATAATTATTCACTTCTAATAAGAAAGGAGTCCACGAAGGTTGATCATTACAGCATTATGGGAAAGTGAATCTCCATGCAGGAGTGTTACACCAGATATCCAGACTGAATGAGTCGCTTTGTGCAGATATTATTTATCAGAGCTCACAACAGTGCCTGGTATAGATGCAGGCAGGTAACCTGCACTCTGAACATTTGCTTATTTTCCTGTCTTATGGGCTCGTGGAACATTTTCACCTCTGTCAAATTATTGTCTCCTAGAGCGTTTAATGCATTGGATAAGATTGCAGACAGATAGGGCCGCTGACTCGGGCTTATGCTCGCGTAAGAGAAGTAAACCTGTGCTTTCAAAACTTTAGATTGAATTTGGCATTGAAACGGTTCTTTATTCTGAACTTTAAAGAGGAACAAGCCTCTAAAAACATTCGTATTATACTTTGACATACTGATGAAACCGTTCCCATTATTATATTTTGCATTGCAACAAAACATACAGTGTGCAGAGGAAGCGAGCAGCCTACGACCCTGTGCAATATCATTTCAATATCAAATGATTT